AATGAAATAATAAAGGAATTTAAAGAATAACAATCAAAAGTCTCAGCTTCTAGAATCTATGGGCAAAATATTTGGTGCATGTATTTATTTGCACTATATTTAGCACATACTGTAGCAGCGGTTTGCAGTAGTCTTTGTTTCAGATAACAGTGATAGAAGATTTCAAATTTTCATTCACTTTCACAAGACAAAGACAGGAAAAGAACAGCTGGAGGAGAAACAGAGGAGAACAGAAAGAACAGAAAAAACTCAGTTCTTCTAGAACCTTCTGAACCATAAACAGTTCCTCTATGAAAACTGCATCAAAAATAAATCTTCAAGTAACATTTGTTCCATTTATCTGTTATTTCCACAAAATCTTGTTCTGCAGTTGGAAAAACTGTCGTAAATGTACCCCCCCTCCCCCCGCTGTAATGAATTGGCATAAATGACAAGAAGTCAGTGTCGTTCTTCTTGTCTCCATTAGCAGCTCCTGTGTTTCCACAGAGCATCAAAGAGAGAGGGGAGTGAGGAGCACGGGGGGGTTGGGGGACGGGGGGCTGTAAGCTCCAAGCTGCACACAGAGATAAAGACCAGACCAGTGTGTACAGTGTGTGTGTGTGTTTGAAAGGGGGAGGGGGAAAGAGAGGAAGGGAGAGAGAGGAAGGGAGGGGTTGACTTTGGATCTGCTCTGGTTTGACAGAGGCTCCTGACAAGCTGCACACTGCCACATGATGGACAGGCTGTGGAATTACACATAACATTTGATAAAAATCACCCTTCTCTCACTCGCTCTCTCTCTCTTCCTGTCATTCGTCTCATTCATTTGTTTTGTTTCAGTCTGTGACCTTTGACCTTTCTGAATATCAAATTAATAATGCTCAGCTGATCTTGTAAAGGCAGTGATATTTGCCTGGAAGTTACCGTATGAGCAGCTTTGTTATGGTTTCAAGTCATTGTTTTCTACAAACATGGAGTCGGTCCAAAATCATTAGCTCAACCATCGCCCATTGTTACGTCACACCGTCGGCACCATGGTGTCTCTGTCCAGGAGCTCATCATCGTACGGCTGTGTTAGCCGCGCCACAGTGTAATATAGAATCACTGCAGACACATTTCAGTCTGACGGTGACTGTGTGTGTTCAGGGAGGTGGAGGTGGGGGTGGGGCGGGGGTGGAGAGCTTCCTGTGGTGATGTTAGCATCAACAGCATCAAACAAAGATCGATTGTTAATAAGATGAATATTACTAGTTAGAGTAGCCTGGTGTTTATTGTTATTATTGTCGATGTGACATCAGATTATTACCGTATGAACTGAAGAAAGTCAGTGTGTGTGTGTGTGTGTGTGTGTGTGTGCTATTGAAGCTGTTAATAGTACCTGCAGGGTTTTGTGTTGGAAGTGTGTGTGCACAGAGAAGTGTGTGTAATAATTCATCAGCACACTAGTACGTGTTGGTATATCTTTGTGTGTCTTCGTGTGTGTGTGTGTGTGTGTGTGTGTAGTGCATTTTTCTTCATTAGAAACAGATGAGTGACTCTCTCTCTTCCAGGACTGACCCTGGGTGCAAGTTAATCCACCCCCACCCTCCTTCACGCTAAAGGGGGAGGGGGGCGGGAGAGAGGGAGAGAGAGAGAAAATTCAAATTGTGTGCAACATCTATAGCTAATAAAAGTATTTATGTTTGTGGAAGTTTTATATAGAGTTAGGGTTAGGGTTAGTAGAAATAGAGATCGATGCTGTGATTGAGATAAAGATCGCGGCCAAGAAACACAACAGACAAGAAACAGGTACAAAATAACAAGAGCAACATGAGACATGAGAACTGGAGACTTCAGCCAGCAGGGGGCACTAAAGAGTATAAAGGGTTTCAACGCTGGCTGTAAATAAATACTGTAAATGTTTGACTAAAATCTCAGCACAGAAACAAAACTACAAATATTTCTTACAACAGAAAATATGATGACAGCCAAGAATGGGTTAAACTGGACTTATTTTCATTAAATCTAATACCTCAGTCACATCAGGTTTTTAATTAACCTCAGTGAGTAATTATCAGAAGAGGTTAATGGAATAAAAAAAAAATCAAGACGTTTTAAACGTAACATCGTCTTTCTTTCATTCATCAAAATATTGTTGTATATAAAATAGAAATAAATAAAATCATAGTATATCACAATAAATCATATAACTGTATTGTGATGGTGTTGTCATGCTGTATCACCAGATTCTTGCCAATACACAGACCTTTTACTTACTTACTCACACACACAGACACACACACACACACACTAGGATTGCAAGAATATTTGTATTTGTATTAAACCATTTAATGGTTCAGTGGAGTCAGTACTATGAATGGAACAATATATCATTTTGTATTTATTTTATCGACTTCTGACAAATGTTGATAATTTACAAGTTGAGGAAAATGTATCTTTTTATTATCAAAAAAATATCCCCAGCACTTAAATTTTAAACCGAACCATGTGTTGTACTACACCCAGTGATGTACTACACACAGAGGTGTACTACCCACAGTGATGTACTACACACAGTGTTGTACTATACACAGTGTTGTACTACACCCAGTGATGTACTACACACAGAGGTGTACTACCCACAGTGATGTACTACACACAGAGGTGTACTACCCACAGTGATGTACTACACACAGAGGTGTACTACCCACAGTGATGTACTACACACAGAGGTGTACTACCCACAGTGATGTACTACACACAGAGGTGTACTACCCACAGTGATGTACTACACACAGTGTTGTACTATACACAGTGTTGTACTACACCCAGTGATGTACTACACACAGAGGTGTACTACCCACAGTGATGTACTACACACAGAGGTGTACTACCCACAGTGATGTACTACACACAGTGTTGTACTATACACAGTGTTGTACTACACCCAGTGATGTACTACACACAGAGGTGTACTACCCACAGTGATGTACTACACACAGTGTTGTACTACACCCAGTGATGTACTACACACAGAGGTGTACTACCCACAGTGATGTACTACACACAGAGGTGTACTACCCACAGTGATGTACTACACACAGTGTTGAACTACACACAGTGTTGTGTGAGTGTTGTGTGTAGTACAACAAGAGCAGATTACATAAGTCGTTCACCTCACATGCCTGACTATGTGACTGAGGGGGAGAGAGACACAGGGGTGAGGGGGGAGCAGTGAGAGAAGCAGAATAAATAGGACAACATTAAGTGGAAGAGGGGAGAGAAAAGGGATTTGAGGGGAAGAGAGAAGGGGGAGGGTGAAGAAGATGTGGAGAGAAGGAAAATGAAGATGAAGAAGGAAGTGTAAACACAACAACCTAAAAAAAATTAAATATAAATAAAAAAAATAACCAATATTAAAATCCCTGATTGGGTCTGGACTGAAGCTGAGGACAGAGTATTCTGCTGCATCTGTTTCCCTTGAAAAATAAGTCCATATAGTGAGTGTCGTAGTGGTAAAACAAGGACACTTTAACAGCTGTGACAAATTTAAATCTGCACAGCTTGTAAATGTCTTGCTCAAAGGCACTTTAGAGGCAACGCATTTATGCACAAATGTCGTCTGTTTGGGTCTGTAACCATCTCCTTAAATGTCACTCTGACGTCATAACGACGGTCAGTCGTTATCATGTTGTAAAGATCCTTTGCAATAAAGTGCAATAAAATACTAAAATCTGTTCTTAAAAAGAATATGCATTATTATTATTGTTAAAAACATTTACAAATATGTCCAGCAGATGTCAGTATCTACCTACAAGAGGGAAAGTTACGTCTAGTATAATAAACACTAAAATAAAAATTAACGAAATGATAATGTTTTTCATAACATATTTATAAAATTTCACTTTGACTCAAGAGAAAACTTAAATTTCAAATCAAACCGAACTGATTAGTATTATTTTGATGATCCATTCAAGAACGTGTTTGATAGACATGAAAAACTTACGTAAATACAGAAGAATGTTTGTATTCATGTAAATATATCTTAAACCAAGTTTTATTTATTTCTCTATTAACAATAACATTACACCAGTGTAGACACAATAAAGTCTAATCCGATCTAATCCAATCTAAAATATTATTTATTATTATTATTATTATGATTATTATTATTATTATTATTATTAATTAATTAAATAATAGTATATTTCTGCGGGCTGGAACAAATGAATTGGTTTTTATTTCAAGATTTGATACGAGTGGATCAACAGGCGAGTGCTGATGTGGAACAGATCAGACTGGTATCTCCAAGTCCTACTGTATGATTGTATATTTCATTATTGTATATTTTATTATTGTATATTTCTCCTGTGCTTCATTTTTTTTTTATATCATATGTTCCTATTTAATTTGACTTCATTAACAATAAATTACCATGATATTCTTTGGTCTCACTTGTGATGATGTAAGTTTTAGTCATTTTCACTTTAGCTAGGACATTTGACTCCTTTTGTAAAAACAGATCAGACTAGAGCTGACTAGATTAGACTAGACAAAAATTCAAGTCAGTTTGTAACAGCCACTGGAATGTGTAAAAACTCCAGTTATTATGAATTTAATACTGAGCTATCAAAATAATGGCTCCCCCTAAAGAAACTCCATGGACTGCTGGGGGGTCCCAGGCCACTCGTTGAAACAGTTGTAGTAGATTACGAGTTCACGAGTTCAAGGTTACTAGATTCAACAAAAACTTGATAATTTTTTATTTTGAAAATTGGAAAGATTATGTTAATATGATTTCTGGGGAGGGGGTTCCACAGTTGAAATTTAAATAGTTTATCAGAGCCACGTAGGAGGAAGTCGACGAAACACTTACGCTCACAGAGCGTGCGTGTCCTCAGTCAAACCCACGCACTGATTCACTGGACGACTGCTGATAACTGCAGAAACAAGGTTTGAACCGGGCAGCGCAGGAGGTGAACTATACAGTCTGGATTAAGAAAAGGGAGGGAGGATGAGGTGGAGGCTGAGGAGAGAGAGAAGGAGAAGGTGGGAGGGTTAGAACTTTACTTTCTCTCCTCTGATTGTCAGCACGATATAAAAACAAACGAACGGATTGTCCCTGCGGGCATCCACGCTCAGGTGAGTCAGAAATGTCATTAAATTCATGTGAGTTGTTTAATATGTTTAACAGATAAAAAGTATCACAGTCAGTCAGTGAGAAGTCAGTGAGCAGTCAGTCAGTGAGCAGTCAGTCACTGTGAAAGAGCCTGGTATCAGGTTAATGGTCATCCATCAGCAGATATCGTCTAACTAACCCATCATTACTGACTAATGTCCTGGTTTGGTCGATCATCTAGTAGTATGTGGTAGTATGTGGTTCATACAGCTAAAACAATAATGGCTATAAAGTACATGTACAATACAATCGGAATATACTAAGTGAAAATATATGTACGATTTTACTGCTCCCTCTGCAGCACTGAAACACACACGCGCGCAGTTATATTTACAGTCTGTTTCACACTTCAGGCTGGCATATATACTTGTCCTGTTGATGGAGTAGAGACAATGGAAGAAAAAAAAGTCACATGAAATCCAGTCAGTCAGTGAGCAGTGATTCCTTTCTTTCTTCTGTGTAGATTTATGAAAATGTACAAATACCAGTATAGATGATATATATGTACATGTGTAGACAGATATAGTATAGTAGCCTGTGTTTGCACCTAAACAGGCAGATTTGCCACCCTCTCATTTGTGAGAACACCAGCTGACAGTGACACCGCTCCTGGGAATAATACACGTTATACCACGATGTACTTGCACAACGATACTGTACTTGGTTGAACATTCAGTCTTTGTTCTCTGATTCATATGTATACACTCTGTTTGACTGTCAAAAAACTGCCAGTACAAAGTGATTAATCCAAGCACAACAACCGGTATCTGTGTGTCTGTTTTCTCCAGGTATCAGCTGTGTGAATGTATGGAGCACACACACTTCTGAACATCTCAACACTGATCCACTTTAAGGACGGCTGGTCTTTTAAGGACAGCAGTCACTGTCCATAATGTCCCTGACGGAACGATCCCATTGGCTCGGCAGCTTTTCACGATATGACCGGAACTACACGTGATCTTCTCGACCATCATGGAACCTGCTCCATCATCTTCAACCCATTCCCCTGGGGTCAATGGAAGCAGCTATGACAACTACAGCAACAACAGATGGCGCGGCCCACTGAGTGCTGACTCAGCCAGACTCAATGACAGTGTGACGCTCAGTGACCACTTCCACACAGCCCTGCTGGGAGTCTTTCTTGGGAGTCTTTCTCTGATCACCATCATCATGAACTTGCTCGTCCTCTACGCAGTCAGAAGAGACAAGAGTCTCCACACGGTGGGAAATCTCTACATCGTCAGCCTGTCGGTGGCAGATCTGATCGTGGGGGCCACAGTCATGCCACTGAACGTAGTATATCTAATGGAGGATGAATGGAAGCTCGGCCATGCTGTGTGTCAGTTTTGGTTGATCATGGACTATGTGGCAAGCACAGCTTCAATTTTCAGCTTGTTTATCCTGTGTCTGGACCGGTATCGCTCTGTTAGACAGCCGCTCAAGTACCTAAAGTATCGAACAAGAGGAAAAGCCAGTGTGATGATTTCTGGAGCTTGGTTGTTATCAATGATGTGGATTATTCCAATTTTAGGATGGAGGTTGTTCACTCATGTAGACATTAAACCTGAGCAGCAGAACCAGTGTGACACAGATTTTCGCTTTGTCACATGGTTTAAGGTCATCACTGCCATCTTCAACTTCTATGTACCCTCCATTTTGATGCTGTGGTTTTACATCCACATCTTCATGGCTGTGAGACAACATCTAAGGGACAGGGAAAGAATCATTCATCCAACCGATTCATTTGCAGAAAACGAAGGTGAGCAAAATGTCAGAACACCCAGGAAGAGCCAATCCAAGTCACCCAGGAGGGTGGTCACCCAGGAGGCTTCAGCCATTCTTTATAAAAAACGCCATCAGAACACTGTGGATCACATTTATTCACTAGAAAAGACAGAAAAAAGCAAAACAGCTTCATCTGCAGTGCACAGAAAACTTGTGGCAAAGTGCCGGCAAACAACGTTGCTCACTCTAACAGCAGAGAGACTTCGAATGAAGCAAAACGTTAAAACGTTTCCTTCAACGCCAAAGAAGCCGCAACCAAGAGCCGTGATTCCTCTGAGGAAGACCTCGGTGTCAAAGTGCTCAGAACACGGGCAAAGAACTATGAACACATGTCATGTTACTTTGACAAACTCCATCAGTGGAGTATGTGATATCAACCAGGTGACAGATATGCAGAAATACACATCTGCACTGTATGCTAACGGCGCCCCCTGTCAGGCGCTGCCATGGAACAACCAAGCAGTTGAAGATGCCAAACTGGACCCAGATAGCGCTGCAACTCTGAGGCAGACGTGGCAAAAGTTTGTGTACCAGTCTCGACAGCGCATGCAGAGCCTCAGAGTCCACAAAGAGCACAAAGCAGCGCGGCAGCTGGGCTTCATCATCGCTGCTTACTTTCTCTGCTGGATACCGTATTTCATAGCCTTCATGGTAACGGCGTTCTGCAGAGATTGTGTGCATCATGACCTTCACATGTTCACCATATGGCTCGGTTACATCAACTCCACCCTCAACCCCTTCATATACCCACTGTGCAACAGCAATTTTAAACGCATCTTCAAAAACATTCTGAACATTGGTTTGTAAACACATTGTGACTAGAAACAGATGTTTTAGATTTCAGGTATCTGGGCGAAGGATTACCGGATCACTACAGCCAAAAGACACTGAATGACATTAAGGTGCGGACAGTTACCAAAATTATTTAAATTAAATTATGCACTTAGAGAAATCTCAGAAAATCACTGCAAAAGACCTGAGATAGAAATGCAGTTCAACAGGAAAGAGGCTGCAAAGTGTACACTGCAAAAAAGTAGAGGAAGTAAAAATGGAGACCAAAATCCAAAAGAAAATATATATAATAATGTACTAGTCTACAGTAGATGCACTCTGTATTTCTAAAGTATTTAAAATCCACTAACAGGAGGGTGACTCAATGTTGCCATCACCATGGAAACTGTGAAAACAAAACTACCAAGACAACTGACTGTGGTAAAACCAGGAGATCCTTAACTGTACATCAGAGAACTGTTTTTTGTAAGTATTGTTGTAAAAAGAAAAAGAAAACTGATTAAAGATCTGCTTCAAAACATTCACCACTTATGTTTCAAAACCAACTTTATTTTAAGGCATGTATTGCTACAAAATTGCTATTTCTGTTTAATAGTCAAATTCTTGACTGCTGAAAAATACAATTCTAAAAGTTTTTATTTATTTTGCTTCAGCTGAAAATAAACAGACATCTCGCAGAGGGAATGAAAAAAATTAAAGGTCTAAAAGGTGATTTTAGTAGTTTAAAAGGAATATACAGAGACCTTTGAGTAAAAGATGAATTAAAAGGCATTATTAAATTTCACACCTAAAATTGAATGTGACACCTCGGACAGACTTCTGTCTAATAAACTCTTTTTACATAAACTGTTTCTTTTGGGTTTTTCGAAAAAAAAAAATGGCACAGATTACAAATGGGAATAAATGTTTACTAGGAAAATAAATCAGAAAATAATTAACAGCAAAAATGATATACTAATTATTCCGTGATTCAATTAATGCCAATAACATGACAAAACAAATCAACCTTGAGACAAAATTCTGCTGAAACATTCGGACCATCAAGAACAGAGTGAAAACTCATAGAACGTAAACGGACCACGAGGATAAAACAAAGAAACAAAACTTACAAGGTAAAGGCAACTGCAACAATACCAGTACTGTGGTGCGGTATTTCTATTAAGTACTTTTTTGTCTGGGTAATGTACTCGTCCTTTGCTGCTAAATTATTTCTTAAGTTGTTACAGTTTTCCGTGACCTGCTGCTGTTTGTTGCATTCTGAATCCCCATCACATCCGCATTACCAAACCGTTTTGTGAAAAGCAGACATTCCGCTTTTCTGGACTTGGTCTTGAAAGAGCTTGGCAGACGAGTAAAACCCAGAGGACAGTACAGGCTCCCAGCGCTATGCAGGAAATTAAAACCTACAATTAAAAGCTGTTTTGTTACCGCGGCCACTGGATTAGTACAGCAGTATATGTATTGATAAACTACTATATTACTATACATAGTTAGTTGACGCTTGGCGACACAGCCGTTCAACTATGCGCATTTGTTGTAGAGCCGCTTCATACTGATCAAGGCATGAAAAGAAACGGCGCCTACAGATTTTTGTCCGTTTTCTCTTGTTTCATCGTGTGTGTTTTTCTGTTTGTATTTTGGTTCTTCGTGTTTTACTCGATGCAAACTGCACCCTAGCGCCACATAGCCATCTCTTTGTAAAGCTAAGCAAACCGAGGTTAGCTCGATAGGCTACTTACCCAGAGTGCACTTCTTTGTTGACAAGGCTGAACGCGTCACATGATCCGCTACATCCGGAAGCAAGGAGCACTGGTGAGTAGAGTAAGGTCGGTTTTCTAGAATTTCACCAAGAAAATGTGTTAAAGCTTTTCAAAATACTTTATGTGGCACGTTTTTAAAAGATGAATTAATCATGTCTTTTAATTTTCCTTGTGAGTCTGTTTTTACACTCGTTAGTATTTTCTCAACTTTGGAATTGACACATAAAACGGAAGTTAAACGAACATCAACGTTTCCCGAACAAAGCATCATTTTTTAACTACGATGAGCTGGACTGTTTATTTTAAAGACTGAAATGGAACCATATTGAAATATTTTGTGTGAAACAGTTTATATTTAGGCTAACAAGACAGATACATACTATATATATTATAGAGGAAAATGTAGTAACGGACCCAAACCCAGAAAATAAATAAGTCACTCTCAATCCAGGGCCATGGATAAAACATATGTTACAGCCATTTGCACAGACATTCACACGTGTCGTTTGAATAAACTTGTAACCTTGCCATTGTATGTTTTTACAGATATATAACCCTGAACAATCCCTATTGAATTGAAGTGGCCCTCCTGCAAAGCAGCGATGGCCTCTGACCCCAGCAGGACTGCCTCCCTGTCAGCAGATCTGAAACTTCAGTTTGCTCCCTTCAGCAGTGCCCTGGAGGCAGGTTTCTGGCACCAGCTGACTCAGAAAAAACTTAATGATTATAGATTGGACGAAAGCCCCAAATCTATTAAAGGGTACTTCTACAATGGTAAGCACCATGGATGGATGTTAACCATAATACAAAGACCTATCAGTTAATTGTGTTCTCCATTTACCTTATGTAATACATAGACTATTTTGTATTGCAGTCATTTAAGTCCAGTCTGTTATTATTGCTTAGCATTTTTAGCTATGTAATGTGCTAATCTTTTCATTTTGTACTAAAGGTGATCCAGTTGGTTTGCCCACACGACTCACTTTGGAATTCAGTGCATTTGAAGTGTAAGTATGATGCAGCGTCTGACCTTTGTAAATACTACGATCCATTGTTACAGTTTTACAATGCACTTATAAGAAAATGTACATGTAGTCTTCAAGTGTGGTGTACATGACACCAGTTCAAATTAATCTGCACACTTTATTGGAATTTATGACTGATCCTAGACCCACAGGTGAAGTTACACCTCCATCATTAGTGGTTTACATCTCAACAATACAGTTTAGTTCTACAACAACAAGAAGAAGACAATGTGCCCTAAAGGAAAGGAGAATTTATTAAATTTATACTGTCCCCCCCCCTCCCCCCAGGGATGGCCCAACTCCTGCTCATTGTTGTCCAGCTGTTGGAACACTGTACAATACAAACACGCTTGATGCCTTTAAAAGCACTGATAAAAAGGCTCTGCTCGAGAAAGAAGCCAACAAGGTAAAACAATACTAGTGTTTTAAAATAAACACCTGGAACAGTCCGATCATTGAGTGGAACTAATTCTCACCTTCATGTTGCTGCTGTGCCCTGTAGATATGGGAGGCCATAAAGTCTGGAGCTGCACTGAAGGATCCGTCCATCCTATGCACATTTGTTCTGCTGACCTTTGCAGTGCGTAAAAAGAATGACTTGAATAATATTCAAATACAATCATAATGCACCACTTTTCTTCTCGACATCGTCTGAATTTCATTTTTTTTTTTTTTTTAGGATTTGAAGAAGTACCATTTCTATTACTGGTTCTGTTTCCCTGCTCTCTGCTTCACTGAGGGGATTACGATTGTACAGCAGCCAGCTTTACTTGAGCATGTTTTTTCAGCAACTCAGGTTCTTATTGTTTGTTATCATTATACACTTTTATACTTTTACTGCTAAATATGTAAACTTGAAATAAGGCTTTTTTACTTAACTAATACAGTAATATTCTGAGATACAAGCCCAATCACTCTCGTATCAGCACTGCTACTTTTAGCATTTCAGTGACAGTTCCCATCTGTTATGAGAAGACATTTAATATTTTTGTTTGAACACAGCAGCCACAAAATATGTTCTGGTTTCTCTCTGGAGTAAAAAGCAAAAATACCAAACAGAATATAAAGCAGTACTGAGGTAAAATGTTTAACAGGAATAAGAAGAGAACAGTTTAAAAACAGAATAAATCAAGAGAAAACAGAACTCATTAACATCTGTCAAATCCCATCCATACAGAGCTTCTCAAAACTGATAAGGTTTCTTTAAGTTTACATATGTAGAAGAGAAAAAGCCAGACACTACAGTACCTAAAAGAAACTGCATATAAAACTTGGGAAAATGCCAAATAATTCATGGAAATTAACTGAATTATAATGTAAATCTAGCTAAGAAACAACTGTAGGACAATTTAGGCAAATTGCACAAAAACTCAAATTTAGTCAAATTTGGCCTCAAAGAAAAGTTACATGAACAAAATTAAAACAAAAAGGAAGTGAATGTTAAAGTGTTAGCCCAAAAGTGTACAAATAGATGGGCAAAATTAAACAGAATTAGCAATATAGTATTTTATAACTGCAGATAGTACATTTCAAGTTTATTCTGCTGAAAACAGTGTTATAAAGTAGGGTGAATGAAGGAAACTTACTGGACAGTAATGATGCTCAGAAGGCTTTGGGTCGTTGCTTAGGTTTTTATCCATCATTTCATTTTCAGACCACAGCCCTGCAGGAGGCCTACGATGACCTGCAGTCAAAGCGAGGAGCTATACCTTTCTTTCTGATGAAGTACACGGAGAGTGCAGTTCAGTTGGCTCCCCTCCAGGACTGGGAGACATTTCTACAAGACAGTAAAAAGGTGCCTTGAAAATGCATGAGAATGAACAGTGGAATATAGATCATCACTGTGTTGATATTTGCTTAGATTACACTTTACTGTTAATGCACCATGCCTGATTTCACCAGGTTACTGTGGGATTCTATGACCCCTGCACTCTGGCTCAGCATCCAGGTTGGCCCCTGAGAAATCTACTGATCACCTTGGCTTATCACTGGTGAGCCCTACACCTCCGTGTTTGAATTTCTTTCTAAAGTGTTAATGCTCTGTGTCGTACGTTTGAGGTTGCTGTTAAATCGTGACATCGTCCCTGCAGATGGGATCAATTCTCAAATGACTTCAAAATAACACAGTGCTCTGAAATGAGACCAAAGTCAAATAAAATAAAAACTCACTGGGTAACAGGGTCAGGCTGGAACAAACGACAAGCTGACATCAAACAGTACTAAGGACCACTTGAACAAAGCACCTAAGCTAGAGAACAAAAAAAAAGAACAAGTGAAAAAGGGAGGTTTTTATACACAGGTTCCAGGTGACAGGACTGAGACAAACGAGCAGGTTGTCACAGGCCACAGGTGAGAGTGATGACACTAATTAACCACAGAGAAGCAGGTCGTGGGGGTGGGGCATACTGCTACATAAACAGTTGACATTAATAAAAATAAAAAAATTAATCTTTTTTTATTTTTAATTTATGATAGATGGAAATGTACATGAGACAAAACAAACTAAAATATAGACTAAAATGAATGAAAGTGAGTTGTAATGAAAATGTATATACATATATGTGTGTGTATATATATATATATATATACACACACAACTATATGTATATATGTGTGTGTATATATATATATATATACACACACAACTATATGTATATATGTGTGTGTATATATACATACATATATATGTATATGTGTGTGTATATATAAATACATATATGTGTATATATATATTTATATATACATACATATATGTATGTATGTATGTACGTACGTATGTATAGCACCTACTGTCACCACGTTGCTCTGAACTTGTGGTTCTTGTACGGTGATGCAGCTCAACGCTACAGTTATGTGTCAATCATGAATACGTGTCAGAATTAGAAATCTGTGAATTGATGAAAATGTCATCACCATGTGAGTCAGTGTGGCTGTTTGTGTCGGGGGCTGAGACACAGATTTCTTTTCACACCTTTATCCACAGACCCTGCTGGACATTTTCTCAACAGTGAAAGGATTTTTGAACAGGACCACTTCAGCTGCAGTGTCTCCTGAAATACTCTGTAAAATATGATGTGTGCAGTAGTCTGAAGCAATGTATTTGTCCAACAAGTACCACCG